ATTGAGGTTTTTACTTACTAAGGGTTTAAGTTTAAGCTTTAAAATTATGGAATTCCAGTGACTTAGTAAACTCTTCAGCTTTTTCCATTAGTATAGATCCGCTAACAGTATGTTTTTACATATTTCTAGGAACTTAGGAACTTACGAAATTCAGGAATTCTTCGTCTTTTACATAGAAGACTTTCTCCCGATTCAAACCATTCTTCACTTTTTATAGAGGGTTTTTATTTTAAGTAATACAAGTTTTGGACTCCGAGGGGAAAGGAACCCAAAATTTTATGAATTTATAGAGGTTATTACGATATCGAGATTTAAGTTATCAAGGTTCTACTGTACAAACTTTCTATAAATAAATTTTTATCCAAATGAACTAAAAAAACTGAATGTTAATCAATTATTAGCATATATGTATTCGCATCTTAGTACAAATTGTAATATAAAAGCTTAATGCGAATGATATGAGTTTTACGCAAATAAAGTTAATGTCTTCTGTCTAACAACGTTATGGTAGTACCTACTTTTTGGCTTCAGTTATTACTAAAAAGCACTTTCCGACAACTATGTAAGTACATCGACGCGGCATCTATCGTGAGGGTCTTGAATAGGAGCGCATCAGAAAATGTCGGCAGCAGTGTTAGAAATCGATACAGTTTTCTGTGCTGTCGGCTACTAAGTTATTAATTTTGAGTTCAACGGGAAAAATGTCCTAATATTAACAAACATTAATTGTTAATTATATTAACTGGATTATAAGTATTGACATCACAATTACTACTTGTACATTTCAGCCTGTACGGATACAAGCAATTTTTGCTCAAAATTTATAGAATCACGCGTGCATCTCAAACTTTGATAACATGTATCCAAATTTTAGCAAAATATTGATGTTTCTTAAGAATTTATCATCAACACACAATCCCACTCTTGGTATTGATCTTGGTCTTGGTCTTGCTTATTCAGTCCTGGCATTGGTCTTACTCAAATGTTTGCAGTTTTGGTCTTGCTGATAGTCTTGGTTTTGGTCTTGGTCTTGGCCTAACCGATATAGTCTCGGTCTTGGTCTTAGTCTTGTGTCATATTCATTTAATCTGATACGTTTTTTGACGTGACAACGTCTTATAATTCGATGGAGCCGGCTGCACGCACGAAAAAACATGACTCATGCGGCGTTACCTCGCTCTGAGGCGTTCCATTTAAGGCTTGAAGTGCAAGCGAGAGCGCGGAACGAGCGACAAAGAGGCACAATCGGCCTCCGCGTTCGGCAGCGTTCGACATCTGTCTCTCTCCTACTTCAGTGAGCGATGCTTCCGCGTGGACAGCTGCTATATAATACATTTCCATTTACCTCCTTCTCTATATCCATACAAAATATCTATCAAACAAATAAAATTAAAATTTTCTTTTGAAAAATGAAACCATTCCATCAGTATATTTCTTATGACGTTGTCACGTTCAACTATCGTCAGTAAACTGACTTTACAGACAACCGATTTTTTTACGATAACCACGAGTTAAAGGCCATGATAAACCAACGATGAAATTTGAATATTGTACTAACCAATACAACGTAATAGTCTCTCGAAAGAAGAAATAAGAATTCGCTGAAAATGTAAAGACATTACGTACGTCTGACTGAAAAACTGAACCCTTATAGGATCACTCGTGTGTCTGTATGTCCGTTTTTTTATTCATAGTCAACCACGCGATTTTTCATTAGATACATAATTCCACACACTAACACATAAGTATATGGTTGATTTAGTAATGTACGATATTAGATATTAAATCTGTACTCACAATATTACTAATTGTAAGAAAAATGCAGGTATTTTGGGTTATCAGCACCTTATATAAAACTCATAGATTAGATAGAGCCCTACTATAAATACAAACCATAAAATGTATTAGAAAACCACTTAGCCAAGCTTTATTGGGATGGAGACATGATTACAGACAAAACAGTTAATCATAACAGACCTGACGTCACTCTGACCATCGAAGAAACTAAAACAACCTACCTAATACATGTTACTGTACCAAACACTGAAAATCTTAAATAAAAACATATTGAGAAAATTCAAAAATATATTCATTTGGCTGATGAAATAAAGGAAATGTGGAATCAGAACACAGTTCGAATTATTTCAATAATAATATCATCATCAATAGGCAATATACTTAAAACATTACAGGCCTTTCTAGACGAGTTGAAACTGCTTACATACATAAGTCTACAGAAATCAGTAATCCTTGATACATGCGGGTACAGTACTGACATATCCGCCTTTTGAGGAAACACAACAGGTCAAATTAGAAGCGTACTTTTTAATAATCACCGATCATATTTCATGACAAGAAGTACTGTTAGCTCTATAAAATTTTAAGAACACAAAATTGGTTCCCATATCATATCCCAAAAAATGTGAGTGAGGTTCTTTTGCATTAGCCCGTCTTTACTTGGTCAAAGTTAACGAGTGAAAACTGAGAAGACCAGGAAAATAAAATAGTTAGTTTATTTAGCATAGCTGTAGAATTTCGCAATACGTATTTATCCTTAACTACCTTATAATAAAAATAAAAAAAAAATATGCGAAGAAAATAATAAATAAGTGTGTGCACACGTGGTATAAGTTATATACTTCTAATGGAAAGCAGACAGGCATGGAGCTCATTTGTTATAATGTATCTAGTTATAAAACCCTTACCTAGGGTAATTTAGCCAAAATAAAACGTGCATGACCGTAACTCGTAATATCAATAATACTACTACAATAATTGAGGTAACTTACGTCTTTTGTTGTCCTTTGCTAATACACAAAAACCCGCCGACATTCTCCTAATGCTCTAACAGTGTTTCTTCGACAGGGAACAGATATGATTTTGGCAGCTTTTGGACTACTACTGCCCTCAAAAATTCGTTGAAGCCACTCTTCAATCGTAATAACTTCACGTTTACGTTTTATTGGACTTGAATCGGTAAGCAATGGAATAATAATCATCGAAATTAATATGAAAACGCCCGTCTTATTCATAATGGAAACGACTCTTTCATACTTATAATACTAACGTCTACATAACAGACTGAAATAAAAACTATATCACGCCAGATACAACTACAGCTTATTTCGCAATTCTAGTAAAACGAGCTGACAAAACATTCTTAAGAATTACATTTAATACGAATATGTAGTTTGGGTAATCAACATTTACTGACATTCTTATGGAGTTCGCAATTTATTATTTTTTAATCCTTATTAACTTGTCATGCAATTATATAGGTAGTTTAAGCAGCGTAATGTTTTAAAAAAATATGATTACCTGTCAAATAATTATTAACTTAACATCTGATCTGTTTTGATGACCGATCCGACTGCTTTGAGATTTTTTTTATGAATTTTTAACAATAAACTTGTAAGTAGCTTTGCTCAGTAGCTTTGCATTTAAAGAACTTAAACTGTTGAATACAGAAGCCAGTATTCTGAGTACCATGAGGCATTGTGTACCATCTGGAATTCCACAAGAATCCAACCTAACATCCTTATTATACATTATCTATGTATGTTAAGAAGTGTCATCAAACATTGTAAATTCTTGCGTTTTAAAGATGACTTTAAAATATTTTGTAAAATCGTTATTTCGTACCAGAAGACACCCAGCCGTCCGTACGACGGGGTAGTGTCGGATTCCCGAGGAAGAAGTCCTCGGACCTACCGACTAAAACCGCTCTACCTCAGGCCGTTCCAGAACCAGCCAGGGTCCTCTTCAGCCGGCCAGAAGACTTGGATAGATTGATGAACTTGGTAATCTAGGAAAGAGTTACATTATGTTATATTCTAAATATAAGCATGAGCGATCTTTTGACTGTTCAAAAACAGGCTATTGTGCAATTAAATACTATGTCAACCATTAAAGACAGGTATCACTTTCCAAGACATATTGATCAATATGTATATATATATACCAGAAAAACCAAAGGTCGTAAGTTTCAGCAAAAGGGAAAACACCAAAGAAGAGAGACTGTGGAAATGAGGAAAAGAGAACCTAGTAGAAGTCAAAGAATTTAAATATCTAGGATACACATTCGCAGAATAGAATGAAGATACAGTGCACATGAGAAAAACTGCAAGAGTGTCGGCAGTAATCATGGCACAAATATGGGGATTTGGGAAAAATAAATTGATTAAGAAAGGAGAACGATGACGTTCCCTATTCTAATGAAGGGTATTATTATGTATGGAATTGAAATTTGGAGATAGCAAACTAAGGGAAAAACTGAAAAACTTGGAGACTAGATACATAACGTGGACCTTGGGCATAGAGCGATTCAGTGCATTATTCTGGAGGACACTATGACAGAAAGAATGCTAAAATACTAAGAAAAAAAAACACAAAATGATACAAAAGAATAAAACCTAAAAGAGACAAATATAAAATGGAGAAAATGAATGAAGAAACTAATGGATGAAGGAAGAACGAGCAAATTATAAAGAGAAGCAGCACCAAAACAAGGTAAAGAAGATAGCAAGGTTTGGATACTGCAGTGAATGAAAATGAGAATGGTACTAGCTAAAAGTTGAAGAAAAGACATGTAAGGTATGTAAATAAGAAAAAAAACTTGGCAACATGCGGTTAAAAGACAATTAAGAAAGGCCGAAATAATGAATGGATCAAAAGAAGAATAAAGCAGACTCATGGAAAAAGGGGAAGACATTGAGCAAATACCGAGAATAATACAGAAAAACTATGTATATGAAACTATTATTTATGCCACAAGAAAATTGAATTACTTTAAACTTCATATATCGAAGGTTTTATAGCATCAATTCAATCACGATATAACCTTATATGAAGCATTTATAGGTCTAGCGACTACTTCATACATGAATCTCGGTAGTCTCCTCCTGTGAAGTTTAACTCCATTTATTTAAAATTTCTCTACTATTTTTTATTTATACTAAATCTCATGTCACTGGGAAAGTTTCTTAAGAAATTAAAAACACTTTTGAACATTATTCCATTTTGTATATTCCTGCTTACATGCATGGATCGGTTACAAATAATAAGTGTTAACTTTTATTTATCTTTTTTTACACACGATATTAAGTAAAGCGCATTAATGTAAATATTCATAATAGTATTCATCTTCGTTTTCTCCATCATTATTCAGTCGATTTTGTCGTCTACGATTTTTTTCTTTGTCTCTAATTTCACTGTTTTTAACTACAATGTTTTCCTGCTGTTGAGCATTTTGTTGTAACTTTTGATTGCCTTTTTCTTGATTTGTGTGCTCTGTTGTTTGATATAAGTTTCGCTCTTCATCCGTCTGTCTGTTTTCTTCTTTTGGATGATTATTAACTGGACTATCAGGTGGATCTTCACTTTCTTCTTGACTTGATGTTTGTGACGAGGTGTCATCTTGGATGCTGATTTCTGGAACTTCGTGGCTGTCGGTATAGCTTCTCACAATATTAAGAGTTTTTGGAATTGTCAGAGAAGAAGAAGTTTTTACAACTTGATAATTTTGTCTAATCGGTTCATTTTGAACATAGTCGAACTGGTGCGAATCACTGGATGTTTCAGGATTGATAACTCCAGGAGTTGATCCTGCAGAATTTAATTATTAATTTAATTATTTTTACGTAACTTATGTTACAATTCGGGACATCAAAGAAACGTATTGTTCTGGGTAAGTATATAAACAGAATCGTTTGGAATTGTTATCGCTTATTGCGATCGATTTATTAAAATTAAAATTTAACATCAACAGCGTTTATTTCGTGTCTAAGGAATTGATTACTAAACTGGTTTTCATTCTTAGGGAAAAACACAAAAGCATAACATATATTTATTATGAAATATTCTGAACTACCTCAAATTAATGAGGGAAAAATTGTTGCTGTTATCACACCCCCGCCGGGAATCGAACGCGGGACCTTTGGCTCGTAGCTTAGTGGTCAGAGCATTGGTGCGTAAAGCCAAAGGTCCCGAGTTCGATTCCCGGCGGGGGTGTGACAACAGCAACAATTTTTCCCTCATTAATTTGAGGTTATGTGTAGTGGGTGAAAATTCAGAAACGAATTTTCAGAATAATATTTCATATTAAACTAACTCACTTCTAAAAGATGTCTAAATTGTATGTATGTTTAAACATATTTATTGTAAAAGTTCGATTTGCTATGATAATAACTTATCAATAATTAAAGGGTAGTCTGTGTTTGTGGTTCATATTTAACAGCAAAAGCAAAACTTCATAAAAAGGAACAATCAGTTTTCTTATCAAGTAGTTTGTTGGGACAGGGTGAAAAAGATTACCTACGATAGTGTATAATGTTCTTTTTAGTGCTTAGTACTTATCCCTTGTTACCACTCTTTTTCTTCCATGTTCTTTTAATGAATATAACTTATGTGACTGTGTACTTACCCAAACTTTTTTTCGATTTATTGGTTGTTTGGTCAGGTAGGGTAGTTTGTGGTTCATTGTTTATCGGTTGAGCAGGTGGTAGTGATGGAATCGACTGCTGATAATTGTAAGGCCAAAAAAGTTGATAACCTGAATGCTGTTGTTCTTGTGGTAAGAATTGTGGAAACAGCAAGGGCCAATTTGGCCAAATGGGGGAATTATCCATACTGCCTATAATATTCGCAGGCGTTTGTTGTGGATAATATTGAGGGCTAAAATAATGTCCAAGGCAAGGGCGATCGTTCACTTCAAGATTAATGCAAGGATTGCTATTGAAACTTGGATATATAGTGGGAAATTGGGATGCAAAATTTGAGTATTGAATGTACGGATCAAGTTGCCTCTTTCCTCTAATTCTCGTTAATTTACACTCCGTTTTTAAGAAAAATGGAATGCAAAAATATAATGTTATCATAGTGTAGTTTATAAGGTTCTTCTGCATTTTCCCTTGCGATCGAGTATTTCACCAACCTTGCAATTCTTTCTTGTTCTAACAAAATGCCTCTCCACAATTTCTACTGAATTAGCAGGAGCTTTTGTACCTAAAAAGTAACTTATTAGAAATAACCATTTTCTAATTGTTTATGCAACTTATAAAATCAAAGTAGTAAAAAGACACTTGAAATTAATATGGAGATTATACTTTATCTTTTGTCTTTACAAAGTAAAAAATTTGACAAATTATACACAGTGCGTTTTAGAAACTGTTAAGACAGCAGGTAAAAGTTGGTCTGTGTTCTGTCGGGCTGCCTGCGACGCGCTGATGAGATCCAAAAAGATCGAAATCGCGATCCGCGTCTGGCAGTTTCGACAGAACACAAACCACTTCGAATTATTTTATTTTAAAATATACACAGTCTGTAGAACTGAACACTTTACTTTTCTCTAGAAAAAACTGTAAACGTCTATCACACTTGCTGAGCATTTGAAGTAAAATTATTTGGAATACATATTTAAAAGTATATTTCTTAGTTATATTTAAATGCATCAATGAAGTTATTTTGTTTCAAATAGTGGAGCGGTTTTCAAATACTAGATATGACGTCGTATTTTAATTATGACGAGATTACGCGGGAGGGAATTTAGCCACTTAACCACTTTCTAAAAACGGATCTTTTTCAGAACACAAAAAAATGGATAATAATTAATAAAAATAGTCGAAATAGTGGATGCAGGAATTAGGCACATCGAAATACAGAGCGACTCAATATTTTAAACTGCAGTATTTATTTCAGTATTTTAAATATTTACGCAATATCTATATTTGTATTGAAATACTTGCTTTCGTTTTTTTACCCAAATATGCGAATTTTTTTGACAAGTTTTGAGCAGTTTCACGATATTTCTTTTCGTAATATTGCACTTTTACTTACTTGAATCCGACGCAGTTGATGTAATGACAGTAGTAGACGTTGTTCCAGCAGTTGTTACTTCTTTAAATTCATCAGGAAATACAACACGTTCGTCAAAATCTTCGTCGTCTTTATCTACTGTTCTACTTTTCGTTAATACAAATAAACATGAAATTAAAAAGAGAAATATGTAGGACTTGAGGAACATTTTTTGTAATTGAATATCGTGAATTCACAACTGGATTATGTATCGACAGATGACAACAACCGATTTATCTGAGTAGGGTCAAGTCAGATAATAAGGCTCAACAGCCAATCAAAGTATTTTGTGGTGCACATTAATTTTTCTTCTAGATAGGTATTTTATAAAGAGAAGAGGAATGTATTTTATTCAATTCTAGCGTTTTGTTTACTTATTTGTTTATGTGTTGTATAGAAAATCTCTGGTTTATGTTTGTAAATAAAATCGACAGTAAGACATAAAAATGAATCGTTGCTATCATAAAAGAATCGGTCAGGTGTCTTCCAAAATATTAATTTAAATTAAAATAAAACTAGAAAAGATACTTCACATGCACCTACGGAATTTAAAAATTATTTTTGGCCTCTGTTTCCATATACGCTGCCCCATTTAAATTAAGGAGTTTTGACAATTAAACTTAAAAAGAAATCTGACAAAAGTACAATTTACTTATTTTAACTGCAAAATTAAGATACATGTTCATATAATAAATGCAAACTGTGCAAATGATTACAAGGTATAGTGAAAAGCAGGTTAGGTTAGGTTAGGTTACGTTACGTTAGATTAGGTTAGGTTAGGTTAGGTTAGGTTAGGTTAGGTTAGGTTAGGTTAGGTTAGGTTAGGTTAGGTTAGGTTAGGTTAGGTTAGGTTAGGTTAGGTTAGGTTAGGTTAGGTTAGGTTAGGTTAGGTTAGGTTAGGTTAGGTTAGGTTAGGAATGGTTGCAAGCTATAATGAAAAGCAATTATAAAATTACAATTCATTCAGCACGATTACATAAATTATAAAAAGTTTTTAACATTAAAATTAAAATGGATTTTGCAAACCATTAAGTTGTTTAAAATAATTTCTTAACTATTGTGAGCAGTATCTATCATGATGATTTTCATAAACTGCATACATCTTGAATGATTCCTCTTAATGCGATAAGGGTGCTTTTAATGCCCTTATTGACTAGAAGATTCCTTAGAAGGATACCCCTGGATACGTCGATGATCATTAGGAAGATCAACCGTAAAAATACCTCGTTTAATACGGTCATCTCGGGCATCGTCTTGCTTTGTAGCACAGCATTTAAAACGATCATCGACTCTGTTAGTGCGTTTAAGCGGACCATGTCGGACAATATCTCTATCTAACGCGCTTCCTACATACGTGTATGGATTAACAAGTTCTTGATTAAGATGGCTAGCAAATGAGAGTGGGATTTCTTCACATTTAAAGGACTTTGTTTTAATAAATTCAGGACTATAACCAGAAGGCCAGCATGACGTCGTGGTGGTTACAGGATCGATTTTACAAGTTAGCTCACCATTGTCGTTACTGCTCTCGATATATCCATCAACAACCGACACAAACAACGCAACAAGTGCTACAAACTTCATCGTTAGAAAATATAATTTAACTAACGAAAGCAAAGTGAATGATCAAACCCTGCTTGTTACATTAATTTATACATTTCTACTATTCAAATTATACTCAATTTTTATTGACGGGAGTCGTCATAAATGTTATTTTGTTTGTAACTCGCTTCATTGAAAGATTACAAGCGTTTTATAAGTTTTTATTATTAAAATAAAAAGGGTGACATTCTACTTTTTGGAATTAATGCAACATTTACCTTTTGTAATGATGGAAATAAATGTCGAAAAATTAATGGGCCATATTAACTGTTGCACACAAAATTGAATCTAGTAACTGAATTTAAAGAAGCAATGGTTTTGCTTTACCATTTTAATACCTTAATGACAAACGTTTAAAATAAATGTGTATGATAGGTAATAAAGTGTCAATAATTTTTTATTGAAAAAAAATGCGTATGCAATTTAAAAACATATTAAACTGATTATCTTTTATAATACGAAAGCATTTTCTAAAAAAAGAATATAATTTCTAAAAATTGTTAAAGCTTTACTTGACCATCCCTACATATAACATAATTTGGATTTCACATTCTTTAACGGCTCAAAATGAAACGGGGTTAAATCAATAAAATAATTCGAAGTGGTCCGTATTCTGTCGAAACTTCCAGACGCGGATCGCGATTTCGATTTTTCTGGATCTCTTCAGCGCGTCGCAGATACATCCGACAGAACACAGACCAACTTTTACCTGCTGTCTTAACAGTGCGTTTTAGAAAATACCACAAATGGCGCGGTAAACGCCATCTGTAGTACGATGCTACATTTTAGGATTACGTATGCTCCAACAAGGTCCATTTAAATATATGGATATCTACTTGCTGAAACGAAACCCGGTGTAGCTAACCTCAACGTGATAGGCACGTTACCATAATCGATTAAAATAATTCGAAGTGGTCTGTATTCTACCGAAACTGCCAGACGTGGATCGCTGATGCGATCCAAAAAGATCGAAATCGCGAAATACGTAATCCTAAAATGTAGCATCGTACTACAGATGGCGTTTACCGCGCCATTTGTGGTATTTTCTAAAACGGGGTTAAACCAGTTTAGTTTATAATTTAAAACAAAATGGACATGTCCATGCTTAGATACGAAAGCTGCACGTATGTATATTATCGAACAATTTATTATTACCAATAGGTACAACAACATAAGTTATATTTACAAGAATAACAAAAATATCTAATCTACAATAAATTATCGTATAACTAAAACTATGCAGTTAACAACACACGAATAGGTTTTTGGTATTCTACGACGATACGAATATCAAAATTGTAATGACAAATCCAATCCCAAAAGAAAGGAAATTCGAGGAATTGATGGTGAACGATGCAGATGTTGGTTCCGTGACGACGACATCTTTACGAATAAAATAGGGAAGTGTGTCCAAAGGAGCTGAATAGTTTCTAATTGTTTGTCTACCCTCGTATTCAGTTCCAGAATTACCATCGATCCACGTACCTTGTGGTAAGTAAACGTCTCTAGAGACTGCTCCTTCTACTATCACAGGAGCTACGAGAATATCTTCTCCAAGCATATACTCTGAAAGGAAAACAACATTTCACAATTTTAGGAAATTGAAGCATACATAATAATAATAAAACGACATATTCGTTGAAAGTTACCTGTATCTTCTTTAAGAGAGTCAGGATCAGTAGGATCAACCCACCACAATGGGGCGTTCACGGGATAGCCTTTTTCGATGCTGGTCTCCATAGTTTGGATTATGTAATTCGAATATTGGTCATGAAGTGCAACAAACTTCTGTGAAACTTCGACTACATTATACTAGAACAGAAAGTTTTTGTTAAATAAACAGCTTATTAGTAAAAGTATAAAATCTAAAAAATTAAAATCGGAAACTTCACTACTTTTGCAAGACTTGAACAAAAACAAGTCTGAACTGTAAGAGACGACCACCTGTTTGCAAAATAGAGATTTTTGCCGACCACAGGTGAGCCAGTTAAAGAGAACTACAGTGTCATTTTTTAAAAAAATAGTACAATTTGTGAGTGACAATTGACTAAAACCGACAAAATTGTAGACATTCGAGGTGGACCAGGTACCCGGCTTGGATCTGGTACCTGACGGATGAGGCACATTTTTTAAGGTCCAGTGGTGCAAAAACATACGAAACCTACCCAATACACATTGGTAACACAAATTGTACTGGAATAGGTTATTTGTCCTAGTTTGTATTATTTGTTTATTGATTAAGTATACTTCATTTACTTTCTCTAGCGATGTGCGCGCTGGCAAAATCGTAGGTAGGGAGAGAAAAGCTCATTATACTCTAGACTGTTGTTCATTAAACATACTCTTTCAAACAGTACCTGCCAAAAGTTTTGTTCAATCATGAACAGTAGTGCGAGTCGAAAACAAGCGTTAAAGCCTTTAATATATCTTCAATATAAATAAACATCTTGTTAATATTTCCAGTAGTAAATGGTACTAATAACAGCACATTTGAGCAATGCAATTGTAGTGGATAAAATGGTCAATTTTTTTGTGCAGTACTGTACGGATTAAAAGTTTGGCCGAGAGTTGTCTCTTTCCTTTTCTGGCCTAGTGCTGTTCTTTTCTACTTTGCGCCGGTCAAACTGAAGATCACATCGCTACAGAAAGTAAACGAAGTATACTATACCATAAATTATTTGTTATTTAGGTACCTATAGTCCTTGTGTTTAGTTTTTAGTATATGTGAATAATGAAACGTATTATTAGAAGATTAAGGTCAATTATTACAGCAACATCGTTTTCTGTTTTCAAAGTTTCCAAATTTCAATTTACTTATACTTTCCGATTACTCACTGTAGTTCCTGTACTATCCGTCAGTGTTTCATAATCCCACGGAACATAACTGAATTGGATAGCGGGCATGAAAGTATTAGCTTGAAGCCATCTGACGAAGAGTTCGCCACCTGGAGTTCCTCCAGCATTCTCGTATCCATTTCCTCCCACCATGTCGGGAAGAACTCTAAAATAATCATTCAGTCAAATTGTTATAACAAATACATGTAAGAACAATAACTTACAGGACATAACCGTTCAAATTCATGGCAATCAATGTTGTTATGAGGGTGTATAGACCATTGTTCTCTCCCCAATAAGAATCTTTGTCAATCATTCTTACGAATACAGGCAAATACTGAGTTCTAAAAATATATAATCAAATAAATGATCTAGCGATTAGTAAATTAATCAAACATGGTAAAGAGCAGTCATTATGCAACAAGTAAATTATGTTTATGAATAGTAATACATTTAGCACGTGTTTGCGTTACTTTGGTTAGGAAAAGGTTGCAAAAAATGGTATTTATGGCTGAAATAATTGAACATTTTTGGCTTACATTACTAATTGACGAATCAAAGAAGTAAACCACTGTGGTGCCACTACAGAAATATTTTAGGCTTTAAAACCGTCTAAAAGAGCCACTTTTATGATCTAGATTACGTAATAACGCGCAAAAAACGATGAATACGTATGTGCCGAATAAAAAATTTAATAAAACTAAAAAAGAATGTTGAAGCTAAGTAATCTTATCTCATATACACCTGATAAGTGAAAATTGCGGCCCCTTTTAAGTAGGTACCTATTTATTATATAAGGGGAAGGGGGGAATCAGAATTAGATCATTCGAATGGCAGATACTGTGCCACTGATATGCATTACGATAATCATGGATTTATGATGACATTAAAATATGTACAATAAGGTGAACATATGCAAAAGATTTCCCCAAAAAACCGCCTTAATTTAAATGGATTTTTTAAGAGGCATTGATGGTTCGGAAGCCATTTCTATTTCCGGTCGTATATGGGACACAATTAGTCGAATATCTATTATCATTTAATTTCGAAGATTCTAGAAGTAATCATAGTCTTACCTGTATCCTGTTCGTACTTCTATAAGATCTCCAAAAGTAGCGCAAGTTTTAACATAATCAGAGACTAAACTGTTAGGTGCCAGTTCGGGATCCCCTGATAATACAGGCATCTGTAAGATACATTAAATTTAATGATTTTGTTTCTCTTTTTTCTATTGATTTCAACTGACGTCTGTGGCAAAACTTGATTCTCCAGCGTCAAACTTAAACGCATCAATGTCGTGTAATTGTTTAATTAAATTGAGTCTGTCAGCGAACCACTCTCTAGCTTCTGGATTTGTAAAATCAATGTAGACTGCATCATACCCATCCTCGCTGTTCCACCAGGTAGTTGTCACCGTTCCATCTGCAGCTTTAGCAATGAAATCTGTAAAATGTACATCAAATTGCAAATATTATCGGTTTTCTAATTGGTACATCACATATTTGTATTTACCCAGTAGTGATAGTAAGCTGTTTATCTGAAGAAATGTTTTCACACGGAGATAAGTATGATTACCGTTTTGATAAATTTTTACTCAAATAAAATTATTTAGGTAATTATTTCATTCGATTTGTTTTTTTCGTTAAATCATTATATGTAAGTATTGCGATTTTCTGAAAAACTAGATACTTTCGCTACAAAATCGACCCTGCTGTTTCATAATTATGATATCTGAACTCTGAAACTGTGTTTCGTCCGTTTTAGTTGACTGTTTTACATATTTTTTGACGTGAAAACTAAAAAACTATTTTACTGTGAAAGCCTTATTGTCTTACCATTATTCATTCCTCTTTCTATGAAAGAGCAGTTAACATTTATGAACGGATGCACCCATAAGGTTACTCGAAAGTCCATGGCTTTTATTGTTTGCACTGTACTATTAATGTTTGGAAATGTATCTCCGAACGTTAGCGATCCATAACAAGTCTAAAATTATACAAAAACATTATTCATTTTATAACGGAAAGCAAAATTATGTGTATTATAGTACTAGTAGCGACCTCTAACAACTTCATTCTAGAGGAACAAATAATTCCACACGTAAAACGCGGTTGCCGAATAATTAGCTATCATGTCACCCGTTTCTTCTCTTAGCATAGTGAATGAGACTATAATTACGCATAAGGAGAGAGGCAGTAGGATACGAGAACAAATATGCGATAGGGGATGGGATGTGTGTTCAGTCTTATTTATATGATACACACTATGGTGTTATATTCGAGAACCATTTAGAATAAAGTTTCCAAACAATAGTTAAGAGCATTGAAATCCACTTTGTAGTTCACGTGCTTTTTAGGAAGATGCTTGCAACCCGCTACGACTTCGCACGGGTGCAGCATAGATACTCATGTAGGGCAGTGCAGAGTGATTAATAATATTATGATTATGATCAGTCTATACTTCAGGATATCTTTATATACAATATTTAGTAGTTGTTTTTCATGAGATTTTACAAATCTTTCAATTTCTCTAGTTTTCTGTACTATAATACGCATGTATTATACATATAAACCTTCCACTTGAATCACTATATTTATTACTGAAAACTGCATTAAAATCCGTTGCATAAGATCTAAGCGTACAGACCGCGGGAGTGACTTTATTTTATTAAATGCAAAGATAATAACAGATGCGAACGTATTTAACGAAATCTAAATTACTTCTAACTTTATTTAAACAAGGAAGGAAGTACCAAAACGCTTACCTCCCAATAATCATCAATTTCAAATTGACCATCCCTAAACCCATTATTGACTATTTCGTTGGCAAATTCAAGTAAAGTGGCATCATTAATATTTTTCTTATACCTTGCCCATGTAGACCAAATTGGTCTTGAAATCATCTTATTGTTCGGGTGTCCTGGAATTTATGAAACAATTCTAAAGGTTTCATTGGATGAATAATAATAAACGAGACTGTGGTAAATAAACAAATAACAATAAACGACACTCTTACTAAACAAAAACTTCTATTTACCTGTTGGTTTTCCAAGGAAGTGTTGTACCGCGTGTATATGGGCTTCCCTCACATTTTCTTGGGCTGCCAGAGTATAATTTAGGACAATCTATAAAATATAAAATGAATATCATTATCATCATAAGGTCGTCAGTTCTAAGACTGGTCGGACACGCACCTCCACACTTTCCTGTCCTAATCTAATCTTCGCATTTCCCTAAAACTACAACAATCCACACCCTTAATTATTTGCGAACAGTAATCTAATCTAGGTCTACCTCTACCCCTCCTAACTTCCGTTTCTGCTTCTAATATGTCTCTGACTAAACCTTCATGGCTGAGAAGGTGTCCTACTAACCTATCTCGCCTATTTCTTATTGACTTCAATAGATTCCTCTGTTTTCCTATTCTTTCTAATACCTCTTCATTTCTAACCTTCTCTATCCACGGTATCCTCATCATTCGCCTGTAACACCAAATTTCGAGCGCTTCTAACATTTTCTTTTTCGTAGAGGCCACTGTCCATGTTTCGCACCCGTACAGCGCCGTGCTCCAAACATACACCTTTAACAATCTTTTCCGAATTTCTAAATTAACCCTTGGCGAACATAGAAGTGACTTCTTTTTATTGAAGGCGACTCGATCCTGCGCTATCCTCTGCTTTATATCCCTACTACTCCTTCCGTCCTGACTTATCTGACTTCCTAGATACCTAAAATCGGTCACTTCTTCTAATTTTTCGTCTCCTATCTTTATATTCGCTTTTTTTCTACTTTTTCTTGCATACCATTATTTTTGATTTACTTTTATTTATTTTCATACAGTACTGTTTTATTTTATTTAAAGCTGTCTCTAATTCCTCCTTGCTAGATGCTAATACTGCTATATCATTTGCGAATCTAAGCATACTAATCTTTTGCCCCTGTATATCTATCTCTACATAAATACAATGTGCATTCATGATCTTTAAACAATATGTGTACAGATCTTGTTGGTTACTTGAATTATCATAAAAGTTTTAGAGTAGTACCTAGTTTTTGTTCTATCTCAGAATGAGTCAAAGATATTCACTACGTAATATGAAAACCCTTTTAAGCCAATGGTTTGGTAAGAATTCTTGATTGTATATAATTTTTTCAAAATAAGTACATAAAATTATCTAAGTGTTGTTTAAACGGAAAGATAATTTTTTGTTAAATCATTCATACATCCGATTAGATAATATTTAATTATACCTTTGGCCTATTATGATAAGGATCTTGTTGCTTGGCTATGAAACACGCCCTTCCCTGAAATGCATTGTTTTGGTCGACAAAAAGTGGCACCCTTTCGTCAACAAACAAATATGCACCCCTCGAATTGACCCAGTACGGTTCTGAGATTGCACTAAAATTCTGTTCGTGAACTGCATAATCTACGCCATCTATCACTAGTTTTTCAATAGGGTAATGTTGATAATTCCTCTCTGGACCTCCATACCAATGCGTTTGTGCTTCTGTGTTCAAATCGACACAGTCCATAAACTCTACAGAAGTATTTTTCGTTCTCCAAAATATCGTAAAACCATTGTCGATGTTCGAGTGAACGTGCATTCGAATGTCGTCACCGAATAGATAACAATTACTTAAACCATCGCAATTCGTTATTTTGTCTTCGGTAAGCCCTAAACCATGTCCAAGAGTTGCATTAAGCACTGCAGCATCACCTGAAGTCATTAAAAATAATTAGGTTGCATCATGGTTTGTTTTTTTACGTACTGAGATCCGTCAAATGGGAGGAGTCTAAAAAACATGGCGCTGATGAGCGAAAATTTTTTATAATCCCTACTAAGTAGCTACCTTGCAATTGTGAATTTTTTAAAATGTTATAAAATGATTGGTGTTGGCACAATAAGTAATTAAACCTATACGGAAGAAACTAAATTTTCGATTGTAAATGATTGAATTTGCAATAGAAATAATAGAATCTTTTAGGTATACTTCATTTACTTTCTCTAGTGATTAGCCCCTTCCAATGTCTTGGATGCGCACTGGCAAAATCGTAGGTAGGGAGAAAAAAGCTCATTATACTGTCGACTTTTTTTCATACAGTACCTGCCAAAAGTTTTGTTCAATCATGAATAGTAGTGCGAGTCGAAAACAAGCGTTAAAGCCTTTAATATATCTTTAAATATAAATAAACATCTCGTTGATATTTTCAGTAGTAATTAGTACCAATAACAGCACATTTAAGCAATGCAATTGTAGTGGATAAAATAGTCAATTTTTCCGTGTAGTACTGTATGGATTATACGCTCTGCACCGGTTAAGAGTTTGACCGAGAGTTGTCTCCTTTCTATTCTGGCCTAGTGCTGTTCTTTTCTACTTTGCGCCAGTCAAACTGAAGATCACATCGCTACAGAAAGTAAACGAAGTATAACTTGTAATAATCTCAATTTTGGAATGTTTCTTTAAAAATTACTTCTTAAAGTTTCTTAATTATTATAATTTAATTTGTAATATCAACAAAAATATCTAGTAGATTTGTTTCTGCTGGGATTTCATTTTTACAAATTCGGGTCCAAATTGTAATTTTTATTATTTTCGCTTACGAAGCAACGGGCTAATGGGATAAATTGTAAATATCGCCTTAAAATTTAGATAAATTTTCCATTTCCATTTTCTCCCTGTACACCAATCCCCAAGAAAGAAATTTAGTTCAAAGTGAATGTGTTTTTAATGCAGGTCATGTAAAATTTGGAAAAACGAATCCAAAAGTTGTACCTACTATTTACTGTATTAAGGATGATCCCTATGAAATAAACGACGTGGTAACTCTAATTGTATTTAGGATTGATGTGTACGTATATGGAATCCGGATTAGATAAATGTTGCAAACATTTTATAGCCACAAAAGTAGGTTTCTAGCCTCAAAGTAGTTAAAAGATGTGAACAACTTGTCTTTCCGGAATAAAAACAATACATTTTCTATAAATATTCTACGGATCTGATTTGTACATAAAATATTTGTCATTCCTTTCAATAAAAACAAAACTTGAAATGCTTTTCATCAATTGTTATCAACGGTTAATATTTTCCGATAATATCAAGTCACAATAAGCTCTTTTTTGAGGTTTCACTCTTATCAAAAACAATATCTGTAGTTATACGAAAACATAAATATGACTCTATCGATTAAATCAGAAATTACTCAATATTTTATATCCGCTAGAATAATTCGATCATAGCCACTAATAGATGTAGATAGTTTTCATGTTAACAAATGTGCAATACGTACAAAAATTAACACGCATGTGATATTACACTACACTTCTAATAACCTCAGTTTTGAAGAAAAATGAAGAAATACATTAGGTAATCATAAAATACATAAAATTGGGCAAAAATGAGAGTTAAAGAACATAAACACAGTATTAAAGATACATGAGTAGCAGTTCGTAGGACAATCGTAAGTGTTTGGTAATCTACCTCTATATTATAGACACGAACTTCAAAAAACAAATTTTTTTTCACCTTACTAAACATTTTGGCATAAAAAATTACAACGAAAGGTAAAAAACTCAATCTGTTATAAATTCTAAAAAGAAAAAAATTAATAACAAAATCGTTGTGAACCAAAGAGAGCTTACTGTTTTAAATAAATGTTTATCGATCTGAAATAATAGTCATTGTTGTATTTTTCCTAATTCCATGTAACTTACCTATATTAAGCATATTTAGAACATATTGTTGAATAAACTTACCATAAGAAAGGGTTAAGTCAAAAAGGCTGCTTGAAGGATTAAAAATGATCCTGAGGGACGTATCATTTTTCTGTAGCGATATTTCGTCAACACACCACACATCAGCTAGACTTATAAGCAGAAACAACCCTGCAATCAACAACTGCATTATCGATTTCAAAAAGCTAAATTATATTACATTCATTTGGAACATAGAACTGTTTCTGTTGTTTTAGGTCTTTACCTACTTTTATATTCCAGTTTATTTTATCAATAGTTAAACAGAGATAAAATCTTATTGGCACATCATGGAGAAATATCGATGGCTTATCTTTATGTATCGATTTTGTCTATACATAATATACATATGTATGTGTAGGCATGCAATAATCAAAAAATAAATATCACAAAAATGTAACTGCAAGGACCTATTAATAATAATCAACGATTACGTTATTATTCATCAGATTATTGTCACACCAGTTGATTTATCTAAAAATATCCTGATTTCAACTTCTTATATCATTCCATAAATTTCTAACTTATAATAAATTTCACACACATATCTAATTAACTTTAGTTGGTATGTAAATGCAAAAGGAAAAAATTCGTTACGTTCTGTGATATTAGAATGTTTCCAAAGATTTTCTTCATTTTTAGCATTAATTTTTTCAAAATCATGAAATCTTATCTTTGTCTTTAGTTATATTTTTAATTTCTGCATTTTTTTTTTTCATATGATAGGACAATTTGTATGTTTTTAAAAGTGATCGACCACGTTTGGAAAATGATTTAAATTAATTGATTAAAGATCTTATATTAGCATTATAAATTTCATCTTGTTCATTGAGATTTCCTCGAGTCGAATCGATCAGTCGATCGCAATCAACTTGTTGGCCATACCTGAAATATATTCATTGACAGTTTATTTTTTTTTACAACATACGTATTAATTATTATTTTGGATTTAATCGGTACATCGAAAAAGCGATCAACATCATTAAATACAGTACAACTGTAGGGATAGATATACAGGGACCAAAGATTAGTATGCTTAGATTTGCAGATGATATAGCAGTATTAGCATCTAGCATGTAGGAGTTAGAGATAGCTTTAAATAAATTGTAAGCGGTATTGACGAAACAGTGTTGTATAAAAATAAATAAAAGTGAAATCAAAAATACTGGTATGCAAGGGAAGAAAAAGTAGGGAAAGAGCGAATATAAAGGTAGGAGACGAAAAATTAGAATAAGTGACCGATTTTAGGGATCTAGGAAGTCAGATAAGTCAGGACGGAAGGAGTAGTAGGGATATAAAGCTGAGGATAGCGCAGAATCGAGTCGCCTTCAATAAAAAGAAGTCACTTCTATGCTCGCAAACGGTTAATTTAGAAATTCGAAAAAGATTATTAAAGGTCTATGTTTGGAGCACGGTGCTGTACGAGTACAAAACATGGACAGTGGACGCGGCGGAAAAGAAAATGTTAGAAGCGCTCGAAATTTGGCGTTACAGGCGAATGATGAGGATACGGTGGATAGAGGTTAGAAATGAAGAGGTATTAGAAAGAGTAAGGGAACAAAGGACTCTATGGAAGTCAATAAAAAATAGGCGATATAGGTTAGTAGGACGCCTTTTCAGACATGAATGTTTAGTCAGAGACATATTAGAAGCAGAAACGGAAGTTACGAGGGGTAGAGGTAGACCTAGATTAGATTATTGTTCAGAAATAGTTAAGGATGTGGGTTGTTCTATAGGGTTGTTCGGAAAGTCATTTCGTTTTTTTTTTGTGGAAATGAAAGACAGTTTTCGTATAATAAACAAATATTTATTAAATTAGTTCATCTTTTTTGCTCCATGACTTCTTGCGTTTGACGTTATTGTATACAACCCATTTTTCGTCCCCAGTGATGATGCGCTTCAAAAACGGATCATTTTCGTGACGTTTGAGAAGCGAATCGCAGACGTCAATGCGGCGACACTCTGTGAGAACATGGGGAACCCATACATCGAGCTTCGGGGATAATCCCAGGCCTTTCAAGTGGTCATAAACTGTTGAATTTGATAAATTTAACCTCAATCCGATCTCACGTGTTGTTATTCGCCGGTTCACATCAACTAATGCCTTTATCGCGTCTTTATCAGCTTCAACCGGCCTTCCCGAACGTGGTGCATCTTTGACATCAAAATTGCCGGATCGAAATTTAGCGAACCAGTTCTGGCACTGGCGTACTGTCAACACACCTTCTCCATACACATCAGTCAATTTCTTTCTGGCTTGAACAGCATTTTTACCCTTTCTGTAGTAAAACAGTAAGATATGTCGAAAATGCTGCTTATCGCTCTCCATATTTAAAACCAACCAAAAACTACTGCGTAGAATTAGTTGGAATTTTTCACACACAAGCCTTGCTATATGAGCTCTCAAAGCATATAAAAATTATACGGCTTAAATGTGAAGTTGGGTGCAAAAGAATACAATTAAATCCTCTGTCAGGAAAAAACGAAATGACTTTCCGAACAATCCAATAGTTTTAGGGAAATGCGAAGATTAGCTCAGGATAGGAAAGAGTGGAGGTGGTTGTGTCCAACCAGTCTTAAGACTGACGACCTTATGATGATGATGATGATGATGATGATAAGAAAAAGAAAAATAATTTAAGAGTACGATTTCGCTATATAATCCTTATAAGACCTCTAAGGAAAACAGGATAGATATTTATAAGTCGGGAATCCTTCTTGCAAATCATGGACGAAACGTGACCGCATTTTTTCAAAGTATTGTGGTATTTGGGATTAATTGGTTTAATTAATTAAGTAGTGATAACCAAAGCAAGACCAAAACCAAGTATGCCCCAGTTTTGGTATTAGGTCTTGGTTTTACTTATTCGCTCTTCGTCTTAATCTTACTCAAATAATTAATAGAGTATAACTGTGCTCTAAATGGAAAATCAATTTCTATGAAACTGCACAACTATAAATAGACGTCTTGAATTTTCGCAAGACAAAGACCAGAACCAATTTTGTTCATCACTACAATTAAGTGAAAAAAATTATTCATCATAGAATGATCATGCTTCTCTGAAAAACGCATCCATTACACTCGACATTATCGTTACCCTTTTTTATACCAAGTATCAGATTCATATAATGATCACAATACAAAACCAACTGCAAGCATTACTGCATTAATTCTTCTAGTAACGATAACGTTTTTCTTTTTTATGTGACTATCTTATCATCAGAAATAACAAAACACTTCAGTTTTAATTAACGAAATATTACGGTTCTTCACCAATAATGCTATCATGGTGTAATCTTAAAGATTCATATCGCTATAAGAATGTTGTTTGAATAAGTACCTAATACATAACACTATTCCGTTTACTTAACTGACAACTATCGATGTTAACTAAATAAAAATATAAAATATAATATAAACAAACACGTTTAAAATTTCAAATATTAGAAATGTTTTATTCCAAGAAAAAAGTATATTAAAGTTACTTGAAATGGTTTAAATCATAAATTAACCGGAAGCAATAATTTTCCGTTTAGTTTTGTGTATTTGGTCTTGGTTTTAGTCTTGGCCTTGTTCATTCAGTCTTGGCCATTCCTGTATAAAGACAGTCTTGGTTTTGGTAATCTTGCTCATCCCTGAGATAAAAGTGTTCAGTCTCTCAAAGTCTCTGAAAGCGAGAGTCGAGTCTCCGTCTCTCATCGAGTCTCTCTGGTGTCGCTGAAAGAGACTGTCGAGAGACTGCCAAAAAAACTGTTTAGCGTCTCTAAATGAGAGACTCGAGTCGCTCATAGAGAGATCTTCATTTAGTATCCGGTCTTTGAGCGAGAGACTCGAATCTCTCAATAAGTGGTGTCTCGATAGACATGGTTAAAATTTTTTAAGTTCAATATATTTCAGAGATCCCAGTGTTTCAACGAGAGACTCGAGTCTCTCAAGTTTTCAGTTTTATTCATTCAGTCTCTCTGCGAGAGACTCGAATCTCTGAATTAACAATTTTATTGTTAGTCTCTCATACAGAGACTGTGAGAGATCCATAAAAACACCTGGGCAATAACTGAGAAACTGTGAAAGACTGTGACAGACGCTCTTAGAGACGCTGAAAGACTCTAAAAGACTCTGAGAGAATGGAGAGAAACTAAAAATTTTTGTCTAGGGTCACTACTGCAAAATGGGATAGTATTTGCAGTATCATTATAAGCATTGAAACTGCAGTTAGGAAATTAAGTACAACCTCGGCTGCCTTAGTTTAGTTTTCTAAAAGGCTTATGAACTTATGTCACATCCATAGATATATGCATTAGCATTAGATGTTATTAATCCACATTCTTAATGTTACTTTATCTGTATAATAGTCATAAAGTTATTATTGGCAATAAATTAGTAGTAATTGTTATTATAAAAAACAGTTTCCATGTACTCGAAACAACTACGTTGCCTATTAAAGTTTTCGATTAGTTAAAACATTTATTGTTGTTACTTAGGAAATGTATTCGACCTTTGCATTTCTTGTTAACTGTATTTTGTTAAAAGATTAAAGAAATATCTAATGTGAATGCTCAGATATTAATGCAGTCATATTAATACATATCTATTTCTTTTTATTAAACATCGGAAACATGTACAGTAATCATTTCACAATATTGAGCATCATTATCGTCGTTATAATCTATAATATTATCGTTATTAAAATCATTATTAGTATCCATCGATTAGAATTATCCTTTGGAACATTAAATTTACAAACATCGGTCTCAGATTTTTTGTTTTATTCGAAATGAAATTTGTTGAATTCTCAATGCAAGACGTCGACTTATTTTTCTGTTGCAACGTTTGCCAACCTCTGAAGAAGTTGGCAAGCCAAGCCGAAGAAGTGTAGCAAAAAATGCATCAGTTTATTTACTCTTCATTGATCAACCGAGAATTCAACAAATTTCATCCCGCATGTCACCTTTGAGAGCACGAACGAAAATTCGACCATTTTGTTTCATGTAAGAAAGCTTCTTCAGTTCAAACAGCACGAAAAATTATCAATGATGATTGATTTAAAAGTAGGATTGTAACTAATATAAAAACGATAAGCAGCTTATTTCGATATTTAAAGAGTCAGATAACTCAGAACTACTGTATGCAATTGGTTAACGGTGTAAGCTGCTCAATTTATCTAGAAATGCGAAGATTGGCTCAAGATGCTGATGATAATAATAGATTTAC